TCCTATAATGACTTGGTCATACTTGATTTTTAATTGTTATTATTAATTACACTGGCTAGTAGTAAATATTAACTAACTAATATGTTACTGTAAATTTATTAATTATTTAAATTTTCATTTCAAATTTAGTAATTATTAATAAGGTATATAATTACTCGAATAATTCCTAATGAAATAAGAGTCTAATGACATGAACCTATGAAGGAAATCAAAATTTAAAAAAAAAAATATATATATATATATATACATAAACTTGACATAATAAATATATCTTTAATTTTACTAATAAATTAGAGATTCACAAGTATATTCCAATTTTTAATTAGAATTTTGTTCGAAAAAGTAAACTAAATTATATAATTTATTTGTTAATTAATAAGGAAAATAGTGAAGATCTGCTAATTTTTATTCAAATAAAGAAAGAAAATCAATGCCAATATCATGATTGACTAATTAAGGTTAATTTATTTTAATATTCAATTGCATAAGATGGTTTATTTATAGTGCCAAAATCACAAGCTAATTCATTCATTGAAGCTCTCAAAATTTTGATTAGGGGTGAGACAATGGCAAATTATAAACCTTCATTTGTGTTTGGATGTGAGCACTGCCCTGGTTTAACATTCCCTAATGCAATTGCACAGCATTGGCATTTTGTGAAGGTTCATCCCACACTTGTTGAAGATTCATCAACATCGAAGACGAAAAAAAAGAACGGAGAGAGTAGTAGTAGAAAGAATACAACTCGAGGTTCGTCTTCCAAGTCCGAGAAAGTTGATCTTGATCTCAAATTGGGGAGATAAATTTAATTTTATTAAGTACTTTATCGTTATTTTTTCGTTTATTAATTATTGAATTTATATGGGAAATTAGTTAGTCATTCATATAGGTGCAGAAACAAAAACCATGTTGCTTAATATTTTTCTTATTATGTTTGTATTGGTTTCACATATTTAATATAAATCTTATTAGATAAACTTTGCCTTTTTTGGGTAATTTCTGTTGAAGAAATTAATTTTTTGGAATCAAGTTGATTGAATCTATTTTGCTTGGAAACGTTATAAAGACTCCTGTTTTGTTGAAGAAATTTACCAAATTTCTTAAGTTTTCTTGGATAAAATTCTAATAGAGTGGACAATTGATTATCTTAAATAACTTCTGAGGTAAAATCCAAAGAAATCACACCAGAGAGAACCAAACTTATTGATTGTAAATTTTTTGGAATCATAAAAATATAAGAGTTTTACAATTAGATACATAAAATGCCACAAATATACTTGGAAAGCCTTAAAGAAAGGAAGCATCTCTTGCTTAGACTCATCATACAACATCATACTTGAACAAAACAGACTAAATACAAAAAGCACAAAACCTGCAAAAAAAATTGTAGCAAGACTAGACACAGTCCTAGTTCCCGGTATATAATCAATTTTCTTTGCTCCGGGAGTATATATAATCAATTTTATTTGTGCTTGTAGAACATCAAATATTTTTTTTTTAATCATCTTCGACATAAATGGTTTCTTGCTGAAACAGGCCGCCAAACAACTTGTTTACTTGAACCTTGGAATCTTCCGCTTCCGGTTTCTTTTCCGGCTTTGACACCTCCTTGGATTTCAAATTAAGAGAGAATTTTGGGATAGTAGGTTGTTTCACAAGAGCTTTATTGGCTGGCAATGCTCTTGCCTTTGCCTGTCCTCTCACAGTAGCAATCTGCACTTCAGCTTTCTTATCACTGCTAGGCTTTGGAACTGAAGTAGCAATCTGGGAACTGATTTTTTCCCAGGAAAATTCAGAGCCAAAGCCTTTTGCTTTGCTCAAAAGGCTTTCAATTGATACATCTGCAGCATCTGTCTTTGCTTGGGCTTCTTGTTCTGAAAGCTTTTTAGCTTCTTCAAGCTTCTTTGCTGCATCCGCAGCTTCACGAGCTCTTTCCGCTGTTGCCCTTGCCTCTTCCTCGGCTTTTGCCACCGCAAGAGCTTCTGCATAAGCTTTTCTTCTTCCATCCTCCGGAATGGCACTAGAAGAAATAGGCACATTTTTCCATGTCCCAATCATATGCAAATTCAGAAATTAAAATGCACATATAAGTGAATCTACCTGAAAAGCTCATTTACTGGCTTTGAGGGAGCTGAAGGATCAGTAAACACTTCTACAACCTGATTAAGAGGAATAATCAACAAGTTTGATA